TAGTCGAAAACGGTATTTAATCTTGGGAATTTCTGGTTATATAGCTTCCTTACTATTAGTATTATCCGTATTAATAACCTCTATCAGGTCCTGCTAATTGCCCTTACCTATAGCTGGCTACCTGAGCTCTTTCTTCTATATTACAAGCTTCTACTATTACTATATTATTATACCTTTCTCTTCTACTAATACCTTAATCTTCTACTACTCCCACTTTTTAAGGCCCTGGGCTATACTATATTGAGAAGTATCTTATAGCTCTTCTGGCCTATTACTAGTAGTATTAGTCTAGAGTTTGGTCTCCGTATTTATATTAATTACTATAAGGTTAATCTGTTTATAAAAGAAGTATATTTATTAAAGAGATTCTGCTTCTTTTGGGTTTCTTTAGTATATATATATATTCTAATAATAATTCGGTATATTTATCGAGTTACTGGACTTTCGGGTAGCTGGAGTAGAAAACTTGTAAGGAATAAGACAATATTTATTGTTTTGGAAAGAGTATAAGTAGACCTCTTTCTAGGTAGAATAAGACTACTAATAACTTTTTATTAGAATAGTTATTACTAGAAGCCTGCAAATTGAAATAGATTCTCGAGTACCTTATCTATATAGTATAAGTTTTCCTTCCTAAAAATTTCCTATAAAATATTCTTTTTTATTATTATTTATTTTTAGTTATTTCCCGAAAACAAATCCAGGATAAATAAGGGATATAGTAAAGCTAGTAGTATAGTTTCGAAAGACTAATAAATTATAAAATAATAGCTGAGAATAGGAATTATTTAGAAGTATTATAACTTTTATAATATTTAGAAGAATAGACTTCTTATAAGTAGCTATTAAATTATATATTATAGTCTATTCCTAATAAATATATAATATATAATAAAGGGCTATAGAATAAAGGAAGTTTAAATAGTCGAATAATTAATAATTCTATATCTAATAAAATAAGTAAGCTCGGGGAGCTCTAGAACTAATATATAGTAATCTGAAAGCTAATATAAGCTCTTGCTTTCTTTATAAGGCTAAGCTTTTCTATTATATAATATACTTATATATAATACTAACTAAAGTTTATCTTTCTTGGAGCTTATCCTTCTTACGAAAGGTATATAAGGTAAATATTTCAGGAGGTATAGTTATGTAATATGAATATATATAATATTATTTATAGTTACTTGCAAAATCGGCCTGTATAAGTAATTATATTATTAGCTCTATTTACTATATTATTAACTCTATCTACTATATTATTAACTTTAACTACTATATTATTAATTTGCTATATTATTAATTGCTATAATAATATTAACTTAATAAATAATTCTGGATTAATTAAATATCTGTTTTATTAAACTAAAATCTGAATAGGGCTTTAGAGGGCCTTCAAAATTACCAAATTGTCTGAACTATAGCTATTGGGATCCGAGACTAGAAAACTCTATAAGCCCAATATAACAGGTGCCTGTTCTATAATAGTATCTCTAATATACTTCTATAGGTATATAATAGAAGTCTCCTAGTTAGTATAGTATTTGCTCCGGATAAGGTCGAGGTTTATAATAAGTAGTAGTGGGCTAGCTAGTATTATTATTATCCTGCTTCCTGTATCTTTAATACTGACTAAAGAGTATAATATATAGTATTTACAGTTACCGGAGATATTAATCCAGGCCCTATTTTATTAGTAATAGTAAAAAGTTGGAATATGGGATGCCTACTAAGCAAATATGACTTTATAACCGGTTAGAAAGTCTTCCGGGATCGTAAAAGTATAACTCTAATCGAGACTATAAATATTGGTTACTTTACTAGAAGTAGCTATACGAGGGTAATTGCCTTCCTAACTATATACGATAACCTAAGTTTTTCCTTTATTATAAGAGAAAGCTACTTGGTATAAACCTCCAGAGTATTCTGCTCCTACTTTATTTATTGTTATACTAGTAGTTCTGGTACTATTAAAGAGCCTTGACTTATATTAGTCAAAAGTTTATAAGTAGTCTATATAATATATGAAAAAGTTATATCTTGGCCAGTAGTCTATTATATAACTGGCTTGCCCCCTATACTATCTAAGTTCACTTAATAGCCTTTATATGGGAATGGTTATTAGCCTATAGGTGAACTTGTATTAGGGTTCCTATTTAAGGGCATTATAAGAAATGTAATATTTTTATTAACTCGAAATAGAGGAGAATTGCTCATATAGAGATAGCTATATGATCTGCTATAAATTACGAAAAGATACCAAGTAATAAATTCCCAATATATTATAAGATATTTTATATATATAAACTATAATAGAGAAGTTATTCAGGAAAGGCTTTTACTTATATTAGAGTAAGTTCTTTTAATAATTTAGGTCGAGTATAATAGTATAGCCAATTTAGGCTTATACTAGTAGCCATAATTAGAGTTGCTAATAATAAGGCCTTTAAATAAACTTAGTAACTAATTTGCTATCGCTAATATATACTAAAAAAGACTTCTAGTCTAATAATATAAAATAGATCTCTTTATTAATAAGGCCACTTCTTTCGTATAATTACTCCTATCTCTATAACTGCCTATAATATAGTAATACAGATTGCTCTGGAAAAGGATTCCGTAATCGGCTACTTTATATATATTACGAGGATATTTAGGGGAGCTTTTCGAATAAACTAGTAGAAGCATAACAAAATCTGGGACGTACTTTTCCCAAATAATAAGAATGGCTTTCTATAGTATCAGAAATAGGGTCTTATCCCTACTAATATTGGCCAAGGTATATATAATCTTTATAATAGCTCTTACTAACTAGCCTATATTATTCTCGTAACTAGTAATTATTCTGGAGAACTTTGATACGAAAGGGAACTTCTCTTGAAGTGCCTAAAACTCGATAATAATAAAAGGCAGTTTAATAAGAAGACTTAAGAAGTTATATTAGAAGAATTCAATATTAGTTTGAATATTAAAGATGCCTACCTGAGCCGTGAAAGTATTAGAATAGATCCAAGAAGACTATTCTCCGAGTGCTCTATCTCCTTAACTGCCTTATTTTGGCATATCTATAATCTGCGGATAATTAACCCTAATAATATTATTGGAATTAGAGAAAGAGCGTCCAATTTGGGAAGTGTGGCTTCGTTATATACTATCGAGCTGGCGTATCTAAAGATGAGAGTAATTAACGGAGTATACTGGAATCAAGAATTTCGAAACCCGCTCCTGCCACTACTAAAAGTTGAACCCATAGGGAAACCGGGTAGGTTTATAGAAGGATGGAAGTTGGTTAGCTAGCAAGTATAGGATGTAATAATAAGTCATGGTCGGGGGTCGAGCGACTAATTGGCAATAGGGGTAGCATTATTCCAGAAGTTCAGGAGTAGAATTAGTAAAAGTCGAAATTGATATTACTCAGAATACTTAAGTTAAGTTAATGATTTTATTTTTGGCCCTATATAATATATATATACCCCAAGGATTACTGGCCGTTACCAAAGATCGATACAGGACTTAGATAGCTACTGGTTTATATATGCTAAAGGCCCAATTATAGAATACCCGCCTATAGTACGACGTGTAACAAAATCAATACTCGTTTCCTGGCATAGTCACGTGCCGTCACTTGAAGTTACATAGCTAGCTATAATAGTGCTAGTGTAATAAAATATAGGGCCAAACATAAAATTATCGATTTCGACTTTATACTTAAGGTTAGACACTTGGAATCTTTCCGGTTTGGGCAAGGTTTAGCTTCCTGGGTCTGAATACTCCAAGAGCATATTTGGGCTAGTTTATTTTTCGGCTCTAACGTGTGTCCCTGCATACCGAGACGCACTGTGTCGCGAGACAGATATATAGTTTTGGAATCACAATTTTTTTCTTAATAAGTCTACGAACTTATTATTAATATGTCGCTTCATTTAATCATTTCTCTCTAAAAAGAACCCTTAGTAATAAGAAAAGAAGTACGGTTGATTATACTATCGATTGTTTTAATCACGCCGCCAATCGCCACTTCCGCTGTTCGCCCCTGTTTAATCACGACGATTAAAGTCTTTTCAAAATTCGGATCACTTGAGGAAAGGTCCTATTACGAAATAATATAGTACCAAATTTTAAAAGACACTCAGAAAGAAAAAGAATGCATTCCGGGAGTTACGCCGGTGTGATGAGAGGGCCCACATGTTTCAGTGCTTAGTAATGTGCATTAGCCGAGATAAAATTTACTTTATTCACCCCCTGGCTCGCTACCTTATATTTTACTTAGCCACAGAATTGGTCGTAGAAAGCCGAACAGTCAGATCACATCAGAAGGGGCACACGACTCGGAGAGTGCTCGCAGACCAACAGAGCACCAACGCTGTTAGAAGAGCTTCCATTATCGATATAATTTGCGCGTGGTGGACACGGCGGACGTATAAGCCGCTGTTTTGGTCGACTTATCGAAGAGTGTCAGCAATGGATATGTGTAATGAACGCGTGCTCTGCAGTTCTGTCACCATCTGAGCTGCTGTTAACGTCTTCGCCAGGTCATCACAGTCTTGCGTGCTAATACCGTGCTCTTCTCGGCAACCTTTCGACCCTTATGGACTCCGTCCTTGATAAGGTCATCTTGGAATTCGTTCGCAATTGTGCAAGAGGAGTCTCCTTGGAGGCTACAGTAGGACTCGAAATCAGCTTCATAGGAACTCTCTCTGATTTTAATATTTGCCCCACATTTTCCGGTACCAGCGGCATTATGACCGGCTAGCGAAGTCACACTACGCTCGTAACTTACCCTTCTCTTTGTGTCAAGTGTAAAAAGCGGACTGCCGCCTGATCCTCCTCGTTAACGACATCCTCGTGAATATAAGCCCTGTCAAAAATCTACACCTGAACCTCCATACTCGCCCGCGTCCAAACGTGCAAACCGTGGTAGCACCACCACTGGAACTGAAGAACAGTCTGCTTCTATTAATCCTACCACATCGTCAGGAATACAGGCACAACGTAGGACAATGGCCGGATCAGCTACACTCCGGACGACTGCCACAGGCCTAAGGGCGCCAGCAACAGTTCCGGCAAGCAAGAGGAAGCGCGGCCGCCCTTCAAAAGCTGCTTCATCATCGCCGAAGCAAACCTCTGGAAGGGAACTGATTTCACAGAAAGCTGGCAACGATTCAAGTGACGGTGAAGAAGATGAAGGGACAACTTTACACGGCATTTCTTTAGCTTCAGCCCGCTCAAGGTCTGTCAAAGCTGCCAGTGCTAAACGCAAACGCAAGATGGCTAAATTTCAACGGGAGGATAGTGAGGAGGGTCAGGAGGAGATTAATAATTTTCTTCATCAGGCTCGGTCGTTTGGGGACTTTTTTATTGAGCGGATTAATATTCAGTCGTCGATGGCCCTTTGGAGCTCCGAAACCGACGATAACCTTAGGTCTAATTACTTTATCAACATCCAACATCTGTGCAAGAAATCTTCTGGAACACCGGTCACTGAACGTTCTCTATACTTCGCCTTACTACGCCAGTGGCTTCAAGAGTATAATAAAAGCCACAGATGCAAGCCGAAAGCACAATTCTGGCCTACAAGGGTCATCTTCGTCGGCGATTCGGATTCCGCAGAGTTAGAACTCTGGGTATCAGAGTCGAAAAAGGCCCAGCTATCCGATGTAGATGGCTATGTTGCGCTTTCCCACTGCTGGGGCCTTCCAACGAAGACAGAGAAGGAGCAGTTCTGCACGACACAAGAAAATTATCGCCATCGATTAAAAGGGTTCAGCATGGATGATTTGCCGAAGACATTTAAAGATGCTGTTGAAGTCACACGAGCACTCGGAAAGCAATACCTTTGGATTGATACTGTCTGTATCATTCAGTCGATTGAAGGCGCAGATACTAACGACTGGAAAATTGAAGCTAGGCGTATGGAACAGGTCTTCGGTTCAGCCTACTGCACTATTACTACTAGTTCAGCAGAGGACTGGACAAAGGGCTTCCTTGAGTGGAGGCCTTCTCCTCGCTTTATCCAAGACGCCTTTGGACAGTGGACATATTTCGGTTCTGATACAGCGGACTACACAAAAGACATAGATGCCGCTCGTCTAAACCAAAGAGCTTGGGTCCTTCAAGAGAGAGTGCTGTCTCACCGAACAATCCATTTCACTGAAAGTCACGCGTTCTGGGAGTGTGGCGATGCAGTGCGTTGCGAAAACTTTACAAAAATGAAGAGTCCACCTGGAAGGGAACACTTCCTTGTTGACCCAGAATTTCCGAGTCGTCTCTATATCTCAGGCTATTCTCGCACAATTGACTTCATTTATTTCCTTTTCGAGAAATACGCACAGTCTGGCTTGACCGCGAAATCAGACAGGGTCGTTGCGATTTCTGGCTTGGTGAAGCGGATGGAACGTGTGTTTCGGACTGAATTCAGATACGGCGTCTTTGAGGCCTTTCTCTCTCGGCTGCTTCTGTGAACACGGGATGACAACACCGACGGAAATGAGACGCAATACAAAGATCAGCATTTGCCGTCGTGGTCTTGGATGACATATTCTCGCATCCGTTTCCTCCCGATTAACCACCGGCTCGAAGTTCCGGCTACGGGCGACCTGCGATTTGACACTGAGCAGGAAAGAGTATTGCTCGTCCAAGTTAGAGCGTTCCAAAACTATACAATGGTACAGAAAGACAGCGAGTATACCATTCTTGACAAGGATTCAGTGATTGTCGGGGGTTTGTCCTTCGATATACCAACCTATATTCATTTTCAGCATTGTGTTGTCATTGGGATGCAGTGGACCCCAGCTCAGGTGGAAGATACTGAGAAGACTTACCATATTTTACTTGTGAGAAAAATTCGGTTCGAGAACCAGTACGAAAGAGTTGGACTTGGAGAGATCGAGGCACACTACGTATCCGAAGATTGTTGGAAAGGGGAGCTCTGCTGAATGCTAATTCATTAATGCCAAAACACCATTGATCGAGACCGCGCACATCGACCAAGTACTTAAGACTTTTCTGTTTCTGCATAGCGTATAAACATAAAAAAAGCAATTCATTGCCATCCTTGGTAACATAGTATTATACGCTAGGACGAGTTTTCCGCTGTTATTGAGATGCCGGCTTCTATAAAGTTAAAGAGCGGAAGGTATCCACGGTCGCTGAAAGAGGGACTGCTTCGCAAAGGCCACTTTTTGCTCTACTCGGAGGATATCGGGAAGCGGGATTTTCCGGCAAGGTCTGCCACACGCAGCCACAAACGTTACAGCCACGTCTTATTACAATTTTACCGAGATTACTATAAGCACACCGCTTCTGACAAGGATCCTGATCGCTTGATTAGAGGAGGTATCAGCCCGTGTAGCGACGTCGTATGCTATGGTGTGCCCCGGCCGCCATAAGACTAAAAATAATGATTTAATATTGTAATGAAACCTGGGTATCCATATTTAATCGTTTTACGATTTTAAAAGATGGAAAAAGCTTAATTATAGGGCTGCGAGTCAAAGAGTCTATTCTAGTATTAAAGGAGACCCTCTATAAAATCAAAGGGGCGGCAATGACATAGAGATAATTTTTAGAATTAATAGGTTAAGAGTATTCGGGAGAGATATATAATATAACTGAAATAAAAATAAATAGAAATTTTAATATATTTACAGATTTAAAGTCACTCGAACTCAATATATTCCTGTTTTGTCTCGTAATAGGGTGCGTCTCAGTATATAGGAATAGATATTACAGATCTTTATATAAAAACAGGCTCCTAACCTCTCTTATCTTTCCACTTATACCTATAATTTCTTTGTTACTAACTACCTCTATTTACTCGGCTTTAACCCACATTAATTAAATAAATTATAGGAAATATTATATAGTTAATTCCATATCTATATCTTACTTAAGAATTTCTAGTAATAAGATTCAGATCGCTCTAAATAGTAGTAATACTAGAGATTAGGCTATTATAAAGCCCCTCTTATATTATATAAATAATACAAGAGACGTCCTAGTAAAAAGTATCCGATATATCTTATTATATATTATTTTAGATACTCGAAAAATATCCAGACTTTGGTTTCAAGTCATCTAATTAATAAAGAAGAATTTGAATATTAGTTCTATATTTCTAGTAAGAGATAATTAAAAGATATTATAGTTATTTAGGTCGAATAAAATAATACTAAGTTATAGATAAAATAATATTAATTTATACTAAGATATTTGTTATATAATCGAATATTTACTTATACTAAATTACAGGACTTCTGCCTTATAGAGATATTAGTTAACTTATATCTAAATTAAGATCTCTTCTGGAAATTATACTTTATAGTATATCCTTATTATATTAACTCAAAAGCCACCTAGTAATAATAAAGATACCCATAAATATAGTATAGGTAAAGGCAATTAGAACTTGTTTACTTACTTTACCCGCCTCTATAGAAATCTCTTTTAGTAAATCCATAGACTTTAACAGAATATTATATAGAATAATAGTAAGAGAGATAAGAAGTATATAGCAAATAGTACTATATAACCTATAAATAAGTACTACTATTTTTAATATCCTATAAAAGGGTATTATTTCTAGTTAATCCAATAATAGAAAACAAATATAAAGAATATTTAGACTAATTATAAGAGCCGTAAAATATAAAACTATTACTAAACTACTAGTAATACTTCTAGAACTAACTACTACTAATACTCGATCGAGATTTGCGAGACTCGGTTATCCGATAGCTAGAACGGAACTTAATATAATATTCAAAAGCCTTAATAGTAACTCTTAATAGTTAATATAGTCGGTAAATCTAATACAGAAGTAGGTAATACCAAGCAAGTAGTTCTTGAAAATATAAGAGCCTATAGTGCTTTTAATTATTATAATAGTACTCGAAATAATACTTTAAGCTTAGCTAGTAATACTAGAAGCTATAGTAGTAGTAGCGCTCTCTATACCTTAAGCTTGGCTTACTACTATAGTAATAGCTCCAGGAATTCCGTTCGGATTCATTAGTATAAAAAGTAATATACCTTAGAAGCTTATATAAGGGAAGTCAAACTATATATCTATTAGAATATTATAATTAAGAAAGAAGGGAAGTTATTATAAGAATTATAATAAACTCATTCTTCTAGTAATTATATATAATATTCGAGTAAAATATTATATAAAAAATAGTAGTAATAGAAAATAAAAGTAAGATCCCTTATAAATACTACTATTTAGGGCTTGCCATTTTGCCTTATTTGAGAATATAGAAAAGAGTTAGCTTAGAAAAATAAAACTTAAAGAATAAAAGAGGCCAAATAAATAAAAAGTTTAAAGAATAATAGGTAAAGAAATAGTAAGTTAAATAATGAAATTAAAAAGAAGTTAAATATATACTAACTTACAAAATCAGCTGCCCTCTCTTTTCGCTTAAAAAAACTATAAGTACAGATTACCTTATCTAATTTTGGTATTAATACCTAGATACCTCTATTAAAGATTAGTAAGTTATATAATACCCAGCTACTTTATTCTATATAATTACCTATTATTTTATATCTTAAATTCCTTTTTACTATTATAGTTGCTTGTAAAATCGGCTTTGTTCCTTTTCGCTTAAAAAAAACTATATATTAGACTACCTCGTCTATTTTTGGCTAATATCATACCTCCTTTATTATCCCATATATCCCTTGCCGGTTCCTAAGATACAGATAATACTAAGGCCAGTAATATAATAATATCTTTAGGTAAAAGCCCCTATTTCAAGCTAATACAGGAGTCTAAAGCTAGATAGGCTATAGAAGATAAGCTCGGAACTAAAGCTAATTTCGCAATAACTAATAATTTTATTTAACCTATATCTAATTATAGTTACTATCTCTAGTAATATTTCTAGCCGAGAAAGTAGAGTTAATAGGCCTAACTTTAATATTCGAGTAAATAATATAAGTATTAGAACTACCGGCCTTAATAGTTATAGAAACGCCTGAAAAAATAGAGTAAGTTCTATATAAGATACCGGAAGTACTAGGGTCTATAGTAGTAAGGTAGTTACTATTAAGCCAAAGAAGATTTATAGTATAATTATCTCAAAGAAATATTACAAGAACTATTTCTTTATTTATAGTACTTATTATAGAAGCAAGTCTACTATAGGTAGCAAAATTATTAGTATAATTAAAAATAGTCTTTTAAGCCTTATAGAATTTAGTTATAATCGAGTTGCCAGATATACTAGAAATTATAGATATTGAATTTGAAATTACTATACCGTTTTAGATATAGAATTACTTAATCTTATTTAAGGTTCCTAATAGAGTTCCTATACTTATAAGAAATTAGGTAATAGTAATAAAGACAGACTCGGTATTTACTTTTATATATGAGCTATAAAATATTATATTTCCTATATAATAAGAGTTAAAATCACATCTGTTTATATTAGTAGTTCTAGTATATCTATTTATAGAACCTGCTCTTCTATATAGGTCCCTAGTATATATAGTCTATAATATATTCTCGGTAAAATAGAAAATAAAGGCTATTATAATAGAATTAGTCTCTTAAATATTCATTTCTATATAATATAACCCGTAATTACTAATATTACTACTAGTACTATTCTTTAATATAACCCATCCGTTTATATTTCCCTTTTCATCTATTAATATATATCTTTTATATTAGTAAGGTAAGTATACTCGACCGTTAATAAACTTAAAATCCTATAGGTATTAAGTATTATAATACCTAATACTATAAGCTATACTAGCTTTATTACCTGAATATATAAAAAGACTACCGTTTTTAGCTATAACTAAAATATATATTAGTATATTTAGATAATATTTATATATTTAAAGATACTTACCTAATATATATAAAGCTCTATTAAAACTATAAAGTAGCCGAGAAATATTTATATTAAATATAAACTCTTAAATAAATATATTAAACTACTAGTATATAGTATTATTAGTTATAAGATAAATACGGGACCTAATATTCTTTTGAGTTAATATAGTAATAAAATCGAGTCTCAAAGAATTACTATTTATTATAATACTATATATACTAGTATAATTAGCTTTATTAAAAGTATAGTTTATAATATAAATAATATTATCCGGATAAAGTATAGTATTTCAGATATTACTATTAAAGTAATTAGTAGAGTTAATTATTAAATAAAGCTAATACTAGTTAGTATTAAGAATAATCTTACTACTATTATTTATATAACTTCTTTCTATAATACAGGTCTACTAAGTTAAAACAAAATAGACTTTAGCTATAAGATTACTAACCTACTAAAAATATATAATACTTATAAGAAGTATAATAAGAATAATAATATAAGATATAGTAATATTATTTCTTAAATCTATTAAATTAATAATTATTAATAAATATTTATTTAATATATTAAAAATATACTATTAAACTTTAGCTAGACAGAAGCTAGCCAAAAGTTGCTTTATTACTAAATTCCCAAATAGTAAGTAATACTAAGCTCTAAGAGACTTTATTATTTTGGCTAAAACTAACCTAATAGGTACAAATACCTAACCTATAATTTACTATAACCAAGTTATTAAGTATTTTATACCTTTATAATTTCGTTCTAATTAGAGCAATTAGTAAATATACTATATATTAGTATCTCGAGTCTTATTCTAGTCTTTTTTATACTTTTTTCAAAAGTATTAGCCCGTATAAATAATAGTATTACTATAGTTAAAAAAAAAGATATTAAAATAGATATATATAAGTTATATGAAACTAGTAAATTAAAGTTAGTTATAATAATAATTACCTCTAATATTATATTTATCTTTAAGAGAATTTATATAGGCCTAGTTATATCTATAGTACTACTAGATATATAGGTATATACTTCAAGTATTATAGTCTCATTTACTAGAATAGTATTTCTAGAGTTTA